GGGGGGGGGGGAAATAAACAGCACTGAAGTAAAAGAATGATATCATGGGTCAATGAGCTCCAACTGCCTGAAGCACCTTTGGCGAAAGCCAAACCGCGGCAGGGTCGTTACTTACTGGACTTGGGCTCGACGCCTCTGATAAGGATGAAGAGTAAAAACCGCTGCTGGGTGTGTTTGATTCGCTCACCCTGAGGAAGGAATCCAGGGGCCCGTTCTCCATAAACTCTGTGACGATCCTTGCCGGAGGGACACGGGTGATCACGCCCTCGAGCTTGAGCACGTTGGGGTGGTCAAACTGCCCCAAGACCCCCGCCTCACTCAGGAACATGCCTTTCTCTCTGTCTGACGCCCCCCAGCGCAAAGTCTTGACGGCAACCAGCACCTCCCGGCGCCCCGGCGGACGGTAGCGGCCTCGGGACACCTCCCCAAACTGGGCTGCAGAAGACAAGAGGTGATGCTCTTGCGCATATTCACCCGTTGATTTCACCCCCGTTTGCCGTTCGGTGAGCCCCGCGGTTTGGGCTACGCCGTGGCCATTCCCGAGAGAGAAAGGAGAGAGTGACACTTACCCGCACCGATCACCTCCTCGATCCTCAGGTGAGTCGAGTCAATCTCCCGGGCAAATTCTTTGACAGCCTCGCTAGGGTCCTCGTAAGTGGAGGGGTCCACGTAATATTTCACACCACCTGGAGAAACACAGAGCAGTATTGGAAGCCGCCACTAGAGGGAGCCCGCACACAGTGATTGTTCATGTCGAACTACAATCAGGAAATGTTTGTTTTCCTGTTATTATTTTTTTTTCTAGGTTTAAACTTCCGGCCTTGTTTTTGACAAACACTCACGACTACACGGCGCCATGTGAGCTCAAAAGAAGTTTTCGAACAAACAAACGTCTCCTCACCTCTGTTACTGATGTACCTCTGGAGTCTGTCGCTGTACGGACTCGCCCTCCTTTTACTGAGGCACAAAAGAAAAACGCGGTCAATTGCGCCGACCGTAGACCGTTTGGTCCGGCGACCTCGGTTGAGGGGCTCACCTGCGGAATACCACCACCACCACGATGGCCGCCACCACCAGCAGAAACGCCGCCCCTCCCATCACCGAGCCCACCAGCAGAGGAAGCTGATTTTGGACCTGCTGGGAATGTTCCTCTGTGGAAGAGAAGAAGAAAACGTTGACCTGCTCAGTTTTGATTTGACTTAACGCTCGTGGCTTGCGACTCGCAATCGTACTCGGTGCTGGGAGATGTTTGCATCATTTTCAACCTTTAGAAACGGCTTTCAGTATCGTCACCGCAACCAGAATGACCAAAAGTGAGCATTGTTCTCATCGTGCCCAAATGCACCTCCAATGAGTGTATTTTCACGGGGGGCATCTCCGGCCTTACCAAGAGGCAGCGTGGTGAAGTAGACGGTGTTGCTGTAGGGGCCGAAGCCTCGCTCGTTGCGAGCTCGGATCTGAAAGGCGTAGATGGAGCCCGCCGTGAGAGAGCCGACGGTCAGAGTGTTGGTCTCGCTGTACACGCTGAGCGCACTGTCCACGTCCGAGCCCTGTCGGAACCAGGGAGAGAACCGTCAAGGCATCAGTGCTGGGAAGCGGACGTGGCAGGAAGTCACACATCTCAAGTTGTCACCTTCGAGTTGCACCTTTGCACCGACCGCAACGACTCGCTCACATTTCCAAGGATCCGTCTTCCGTTGCTGACCCCCGTCTGCCCATCATCCTCCCGCCTCATCATTCTACCGCCAATCCCCTCTGTTCTCTGTCATGTTTTCCTGTCCCCTCGGCCGTTTGGTGTTTTCGATACCACTTCGTACGAAGAAGAGCGAGTTCTTTTTCCTGCATGCAACCCCTACCAAAGCTTCAAAGACGCTTCGCTCCGGACCTTGAAGCTAACTGTGTTGCAACTCAAGCTGTTTGCTGCTGGCCTTGCCACAGCAGTTATTTAAGGCCGTAATCTCACGAAGCGGCAAAGATTTGCAAATGTGTGCGCATGTAGCAAATGTTAGCCAAAAAAAGTTCGTTCAAGGTCGCATACAGTCGCAAAGACATTCACCAACGATTTTAATGGTCTCAGACAGTTTTCCTCATCGCAAAGAAATGTTCAAAATTTGATGGCGACCCCACCCCACCCCCCAAAAAAACAACAACAACTTTTGCGACCTTTAAAACTGTTTGGAAAGCAACACCAATCCCGACAAAAACTTGACTCGAAACAAGTCTTGTGACCCGAGTCCCCCACCCTCTGCTGGTACCTTATCAAAGTATCTGAGCTGGTACTCCAGGATGTCCCCGTTGGGTCTGTCGGGCTGCGGCCACGACAATGTGATGGAATCCGGGGCCCGGCTCAGCTGGTGCATCATGGGAACCGTAGTGGGAACTGTGGGAGACAACACAGCCGGCTGATACTTGAGCGATTCAAGAGGCGGCGACCACAAGAGTGCAGCATTGCGGAAAACAGAAAAGTCCATTTCGTTTCATTTCATTTCACAAGGCAGCATGCAACAAAAGCTCCTTTCGTGGTCCTTTTCGTCATCCCACAGGGACTAGAATGGGATCTGACAGGAGATTGTAACCTCGAGCGACCTTCCTGCCTGGACAGCAGGGGCGGAAAGAGAAAGCGGAGGGCAGCGAGGGCGCTCTTCACGCCAAACACAAATACATTAGCATCAAAAGCAGGCTTTGGCTTTCATCTCCTCTTTTTCATCCTCCTTTCTGTCTGGACTCACCTGACTGGCTTGTGGTAAAATTGATGCTTGTGTAACGAGCTGGGAAAGGGCTCAGCGCCGACACTTCATTCAAGGCTTGCACCTGGCGCAGCAACAACAACACAGCCATGTCATGTTCCTTCATTAGGGATGCCAACCATGAACTGTGATTTGAACGCCGTGATAATACAACAATGGACAATATATATGTAAAAAGAAAAAAAAAAACGCCCTTTGCAAATCAAAGCTGCCTCCCAAAGCCCTTCCTTCCACCTTGAACCTTGATAATCCAGCGCACCTGTATGAGATACGTGACTCTGGTGAGCAGGTTGTTGAGGGTCACGCTGGTTTGTTTGAGGTTGGTCTGGACGGGGCTGAAGGCGACGCCTTCGCCGCACCAGGAGCACACGGCCGGGTTGGTGATGGCGGGCGAGGGGCAGATGCGACACACCACTCCGTACCACACTTCGCTGCGGCCTCCCATGTCCACCGGGGGGCGCCACCGTAGAGACACCCCGCCGTCGCCGCTTTCGTACTCCCAAGACAACGACACCGGAGCGGAGGGAGGAGCTGCGGAGAGAACCGAAATTTCAAGCACCGTCTCAAGTTCAGTTCGGGTGAGATCCACCTGGAGTTTGTGGATGTGGCGTTTTAGTTGATGCCGCCAACATTGGCCAACAACAGTGCTTGTGGAGAGCCTCTGGCAGGCCTGCGGGATATAATGGAACATCGGACTCGCCATCTTTGTTTGTCTGGTGTCAGAATTCGGTCCGCATTGCAGGCGGGGAGTCCAAATGGTTTCCCTTGTGGGTTGGACTCCACCAAAGGGCGGCCGTTGGCAGCGATTCTGTTCCTGACCTTCGTGGATGCAATTTCTTAGCGCAGCAGGAGTGGTGAAGGGGGTCCGCTTCGGTTGGCTTAGTCTTAACGACAGTCAACTCTTGCTGGAGCAGTTCGCAGCTGAGTGTCGAGCAGTTCGGATGAGACCAAAAGAACAAGGAACACCAGTGCGAGCAGACAGAATGCGCTTCCTCTGTGGGGTGTCCACGATCTCCCCAACACGTGATGGTTGTTTCTCTATTTCTGCCCTGCAACTGACTGGCGACCAGTCCAAATCGCACCCCGGCTCTCGCCCAAAGTCCACCGGCATAGGCTCCAGTTTACGTGTGACCCAAATGAAAACGATGCTGGCAAATGCTAAGCTACGAGCCCCAAGCTAACAAAAGTGCACCCAAAAAAAAAATAAAAAAAGCTCACTTGTGCAGGCGGACGAGTTGGCATCGGCGGGCGCCCGGTAAAAGCTGCTGCGACATTCGCACACGCTGGAGCCCTCTCGGCTGGTGCGGCTGTTGGCTGGGCACACCGAGCAGGGGGCGGAACCCGAAGCGGGCTTGAAGTAGCCCACGGGGCAGGCTGCCGGAAGACACACAAGGAGGCTTGATTAGTCCGAGGTTCCAGAACGTCAACAAGAGAATGTCGTGCGTGTTTCGTTAGCGCCGCTTCCTTGACAAAGATGATAACGCTCCGGTTGGATTGAGTGACGGGGGGAAGGGAATACAAGAATGATGTGATGATGTAACAAAAAATAAATAAGATATAAAATCATGGAGAAATCTAAGCGCAGCAATACTTATTTGGCGCCAAGTATCAAATTCTTTTGAAAAGCGAGGCCCGTTATGAGTAGTTGGCTCAGAGCGGCGTTCTCGTGCTCGGAAGCTGCCAAGCCAAAGGCCGCCGCCGTCGGCTTCGCAGAAGAGCACCACGTGGCGTTTCGATTGCCGCCATGTTGTTGATGGGAAGGCAGAGGTGACCTATTTGCATGACGGACTGGACATTTGGAGGAACGTCGATAATCCTTCTCGACTTGAGGCTCGAACTCGGGATGCCTCGGAAAGGGAGTATCTTTGACTGCTGGAAACGCGTATCGCGTGTCGAGTGTTAATCTCAACCGTGTGCCGGCTGAACTCCGAGGTCGAGGCTAAACGCACCCGCAGCCTCGTTTGTCCTGCGCGCCGCCGTGCGACCGTGGCGTGTCGATGTGCTGCCATTTCAGCAAGTGCCCTGTTTATGCGCCCGCACCCAACAGGAGTAACATTCAAAAACAGCTCTCTTTAGTTTCGTTCGCCTGTGTATGGTGTGTTGCGTTGCGTATTAGCATGAAGCTAGCGTGGACGCGTGCGTGTGTGCGCAGTTGCATTGCCGCGGTGTGACGGGAGAGGAAGGGGAAGGAAGAAGGAGCGGGAAGTGGAAGAAATACGGAGAAAAGAAAGTGATAAAAGCCTTTCGGTGTTCGCGCTTGTCTCCTGGGGCCCGCGTGGCTTTTATACAGGTGTGAAGGCGGGGGGACAGCGGGGAAAACCGACGGCCGTGCGACTTCACGGCTTGGGGGGGACGAAGACGTAAGGATGAGGACGTTCCTCCATCTTTCATGCTCCGTGTGCACATCAGCGGACGTGTCCTCTTACACGTTTGACATGAAACATGATGTGGCAAGAAAGCATTATCCCACGACGGACATCGCGCACGCACACACACACACACACACGGATTTTATTCCATATTGTCCCATCAGTAAAATCCAGTTGCCAGCTGCTCGGTTGCGCCATCTCTTTTGTCCGCCACTGAGCCTTTTGGCTCCTTTTGCAGGCTTGTCCAAATTAATAGCTTTCAAATTTTTTTTATTATTATTTTTTTTTTCCACCCCAAATAATATAACAGCGGCTTCTACATCACTGCGGTTTATAAAGCCGCCAAGGCTGCCAGAAGCTAGATCTAGTTTTCGGCATGAATCAGTTTCCTTTAACTTTTTGGGACACAATGTCACAAAGCCAAAACAAGTGATAAAGAAAAATGACATTCAGCAGACTCGCACAATTATTTATTGCTTTGATATATCGATGCTGTCGGCAGTAAATAGTCTTGGATTTTTCATGACAGGCAGTTTTTATTTCCTCTTGACATTTCAAGTTCAACTTCAAGTCAACTTTATTGTCAAATGTGCTCTGCGTGCAACATACAGTACAGATGACATTTCTTTCCTCTCACCCACAGGAGAGAGAGGAGCCGCTGTGGGTGCCCGCACCGCCATGCTTTAAATTCAGTTCATTTTGATTCATTTTTAAAATTCAAGTTAGTTTTTTTTTAAGCTTTTTCTTTTGTTTTTATTAGTTTTGGATCACTTTTAGTTGATTGGTTGATTTATTTATTTTTAAATAAAGGGGAGTGTTTGTTCAGTGCAAGATAAAATCAAATAACAAAGTATTGTGTAATAAAGTAAACTACAATTTGACCGAACAGTTACATCGAAATAAATAATAAAATGAATCCCGAAAGTTTATGTATGATATCAACAAAAAAACTTTTTCGCCATAATTATAGTTTTAGACGGTTTTGTGAATATAAAATGTAACTTTAGTTAGTTTAATTAAAAAAAAAAAAGCATTTTGTTTGAATTTTTTTTTTTAGTTTCATTACGGAATTTTTTTTTTTTTTGTGAATTTTCATGAACTATAATAACCTTGGTGCACTCACAAACTGGGCTGATCAGGATGGCGCAAATTGCATGAATTTATTAACCTTCTTGTCCTAATAATGATATGGGGGGGGTTGTTTTGGGTTTTTTTTGGGGGGGGTGGGATTATAATGCCCAATTGGTGTTCAAAGAAAGAGACATCCACAAGAGGACAGGAGGGCAGCTAGATTCCATGTCAACATAATACTTTCGCTGCTGCCTGGATCACTGACCCACTTTTTCCCCCCTGCTCTCTCTCTCTCTCTCTTTTGATTCACTCTTTTGACTCCCAGCATAATCTGTCACACACACGCGCACACACACGCACACGCACGCGCTCAGGCACAGATGCGAGCGATGCACTGTGACCCTCCATGCAAGTTCTCAGCATCCATAGCAGTGCCTGGAAACACGCCGAATCATCCGTTTGCTCAGCTAGTGACCGACAAATCCCGCCCTTTTTTTTTTCCCCTTTCGGTTGCGTACACGATAACAAAAGGAAGCCCGGAAGTAAGACGTCGTGAGTGAACACGTGAAGGTATCCAAAAGCACAAGGGAAGATTGTGTTGAGGCTCTGCCGGCTAACGTCAGTGACCTCGGACCCTGCAAATGTTTCCAACAGACGCACTCCAAAATGCTTTGGGTAGACTCGCCCGGGCTGCAAAAACGAGGGGCCGACTCCATATTTTTGGGCAATTTTCCCTTCCTGCGGGACTGCTTAGTGCAGTGTTTTCCAATCTTGAGAGAGCCAAGGTGCATATTTGACATGACATCGGGGCACACTGCCAAACCAAAATGCGGAACGACAGTTCAGCTTTTGCTGCTCCACTGCATCACAGAATTTTTTTTGGGGTATCATACCTATGTTGCGGATTATTTGCTAATACGCAGGAGTTTACTGTGATGATTTTTTTCAACACGGACAGTTCCCACACACTCACTCAAGCAATTAAGTGCCGGCCAGGACAAACGGTTGCACGTAGGACAAAGAATGTCTAAAATTTGGGACTCTTTCAAACTCAATCCAGAAGCTAAAGTGCAACGCGCCTTTTGCAAAGTACAACTGTCTTCAAGGAGAAGTCGAGTCAAAACATTTCTTCCCAATTAAACTCGATGTGGGCGGCACGGCGGGCGACGGGAACGCTCAAAAATTGTCCCGAGGTGTGAGTGTGAGCGCAGGTGTTTGTTTGTTTACGTGTGGCCCGCGACTGGCTGGCGACCAGTTCAACGGTGTCCCCCGCCGACTGGCTAAAGACGGCCGTGAGAGGCTCCGGCACGCCCGCGGCCCTCTTGACGCTATCGATGTTCTCGTCTTCACACCGATGAATTAAGCAGCAACGTTTCATCCAACTCAACGCACATCCGCTCGCCCACCGGGTGCACATCAGCCCCAAGAGGCGCAAATGTTTCTCCCGCTCAGTCACATTTTTTTGCGCAAGCGCGCCTCTTCTCCCACACAAGGACTCACAAATGTCAAGAAGGAAGATCATCAGTCCATGCGGGAAAGCAAACAACATCAGGCAGCCCGCGTGCACGTGTGCTCTTTCAAAAGGAGACGAGAGGAGAGGCTCATCACGAAAACAAGCTTCCGAATGTCACCGTGATCGTATAGCAGGGGCGGGTGACGTTCCGCTCTACTTGCTTGTGACAAACTCTTGGATGAATTATTCAACTCGGGAGTTTTGGAATTTCTTTCTGCCAAAATGTCAGCGGTGATTTTGTGGCCGAAAAGAGCGACGCTTTGCCTGAAAGATGCATCGTCATCACTCTTGAAGTTTCGAGGGTTCTCCGGGGGCAGAAGGATGAAACAAAATGGAGAGAGAGCGAGAGCGAGAGAGAGCCCATACTGTATTTTTACCTTTCGTATCTTGGAATTTCTTTCGTAACAAGAGGCAATATTTTCCTGTTGAGGCGTTTTGTAACTTTTGTATGAAGAGACGTTCGTAAGTAGAGGTACCACTGTATCTAGCTAGCGCTGCTAGTTCATCTGTCCCTCTGTCTGGCTAGCCAGCTTGCAAGCTCGCTTCGGTTTCGGTATTGGTATCTGTATCAGTATCGCTCTCTCTACACTCTCACACACACACACACACACACACACACACACACACACACACACACACACACACACACACACACACACACACACTTACATACACGTGACTGTGTCGGGCCGGGGTCAATAAACATTTCATTAAAAAATATGAGGAAATAAGCACGTACTTGCCATTTTAATATTTATGTGCGCATTTTATTGTGAGTAAAGTCAAATCCTTCCGTGAGGAAAGACTATGGCCATAATGTGTTACACATGGCCATCTTCCAATTGTTTCCAACGATTGGCCACGCACAACAAAATAGTCGGAATGGAGTCCTCTTTATTTTCTTACCGCATTGTGCATTTTGTCTTTGTGAAATGCATCATTAGGAAAAGAAGCGATAGGAACCGTGAAACGCCCAGAAGTTGCAAAGTGCCTCCTACTTGCTTGACAGGCGCTTCGCTGAAATGCAAATGGACAGATGCACTTCGCATTGGGAAAAGTACGTTCTTTTTTTTTTTTCTTTTTGCAAGCGAGGTGTCTAAAGCGCCGGGCGGCAGGAAAACGATCGACATTTCACAGACGTGCAGCTCTTCATTTTGTTGACATTTTCCAATGTGCCGAAGAACAAAAGGTTGCACGTCCACAAAGTCCCGCCGGTCATCTAGCTATGTTTAATTACCAGTGATGACTTCATCATCACCATTTGTCTCCCTTCAACAATGCAGTCATGGCTCAGTGAATGAATCGACAAAAACACAGCCCAAAGTCGGTCGGAATCGTGGGCGGCGATGTGTTAGAATCGTTCAGAAGAGCCTTTCAATCAAGTTGGGAAAAGAGAACGAGCCTTGACATATTTCTCAGCTGACTTGGCAGGACCCAACCTGTCATTGTCACGAATCGCGGGACTTTGGCGGCGAAATTCTTGAGAAACTTTTCAGTCCCGTGTTTGGACTTTCTATCGAATATACAGTGGACCCAAATAGACAGGGAACTTAAAAAAAAAAAGGGGGGGCGCATTCCCACCCCACGGGAGCTACGACATTTTCCAATGTAAAAAGAGCTCGCCCTTTTGGACAGATTTCAATGGCATTGACAAATCTCAGGAAAAGGATGAGGCGGGATTTTTCGTCATCTTGTCTCTTTGGTTTTCCTGCGTCACCAGTCCAAACCGGAGAATGAGAAGTGAGCGAGACCATGCGCTTAAAAAGGTGCAGAGAAGAGAAACTGGTCCTTTGTGCGTGCTTTCATTTGTCAAATCTTTCAAGGAACAACTTGATTATGGTGTGTATCCTATTTCTCTCCCACTCTTCAACTCTCCCCCCTCAAAAAAGACGATTCAAAAGTGCAGAATTTATTTGACCTTATCCTATTTTCACAAACGAATCTCATCATGACAACAATAGGATGAGAAATATGACTTGACTGCACATTTTGTGATGTCAAAATGTTATTTCCATTATTTATGCTGCAGCGAATCAGTTTGAAATCCGTGCCCCCCCCCACATCTTTCACTTTGTTCATTCAACAGTTTGTGTGAGTGAGTGGCATCCTATACTGTTCAATCCACCACCCGCTGTAGCGCAACCCCCCCCCACCGCTGCCGTTTTCATCATTCGCTCACAGACGAGTGGCCATTACTTCCCCGTGACCTAAATGTGTCACATCCCTTGCACATGATGACTCTCCTCCCCACCCCCCACGCTCTCCTTCATTCTCTTCGCTGTTTGTTCATCTCTTAATTGCGCCCCCCCCCCCGCCACCCTCAAAATAAAACAACAACAACAACCGACGAGCAAACCGTGATGAGACGACGTCGGCATCGTGATCAAAAAACATCCTGGCAGTTGCCCAAGTGGTCGAGCATCAACTGCGCGCCTGCGGGTGCTCTCGAATGGAGACGAATGAGCTCGGCCATATGGACGCAAGTTGCCAGCGCATTTGCTGGATGGGCGCAATGTTTGAAATGGATCATGATGGATTCATTTTTAAAAAATCATGGAACACAAAAAAATGATGCGGTATGCAAAGACATACCCAGACAAGTAACACTGAATTTCAACAGAGCTCATCAAAGCACGTCCTAAAACCGCATCGTAATTTAATGTCACTGCTTGATTATAATTTGAATAACACATTGGAACAATCATAAATAACTCCACTTAGTAGTGAATGACATGAATCACCCAATAAATACATTTCTAAGTAGTTTTATGGTACGAGCATTGGCGACTTCTGGTATGTGCACGATGTGCGGCCACACAGGGTGTCATTTAAGCCTTCAAAAAGCTCTGTGAAATGGAGTTGTGTTGCCATGGTGACATGTAAATCATTGCCATTTGTAGAGGTAATTTGTAGCCCCTTGTGAGCGGTCTTCTAGGATTTTGCTGATAAATGATTATCAATGTCAAAATGTCGGGTGGCAGGGGGGGCGAACAAAGGGCATGCTTGTACAGGAAGGCACATTTGTCAATATTTTTACATGTATTTTTATTCTAATATTCAATCTTGAACTTATTTCAGATTTTTTTTTTTTTTTGGACTGAAGCTAATAGAATCCAAATCCAAATCAAATCAATGAAATTTCAAAGAAGTGAATAATATGCGGCTGATATGCTGCGGTGATCAGCGACACATGCATCACTTTCCCTGTTCCAATGTAAAATATGCGCTGGTGAATCCCATCCTGGCCTCGCTTCCATCTGAACTTTCCATCCACATCGCAAGTTGATGACCAAACTGACAACATCTCCATTCAGTGTCGATCTGTATTGCAACAAAGACAACAACGCGCGCAAAGAGCCGGTAACCCTTTTTAGCTTCTTTTCCGTCAGCCGGAGCATCGCCGATGTCTTTTGTATTCCTCCACAAGCAGAAGAGCCCTCATCAGGGCTTATCAGCCCATCTGTGCACCGCGAATCGTTCCACATGACAACGTGATTATGCGAGCGTCCTCCGGGAAACGGGGTCAGACTTACCCAAGCAGGCAGATCCATTCAGGTTCGCTTCATAGCCCTCGTCGCAGACGCAGCCTCTGACCGGCACCATCCACTCGCCCTCGGCGTTACAGTGCATGCGAGGCCCGCTGCCCCCTTGGGCCTTGCTGTTGGCGACGCACGCGCCGGCCACGGGCACCAGAGCCGTGGGCTCCGCACCGGAGGGGGTGGCCGGGTAGGACGCCAAGTTGAGGCTGGTGGCGGGACAGCGGCGGTAGAAGACCGACACGCCCATGAGGGAAACGCAGGCGCCGCTGTCCACGATGGCCAGGACGAATCTGCCACAGGAGGTCAGAGGAGCAAGAAGAAGGGGACACACTGGGACTGTAAACATCAGTAGCACACCGGCACACGTGTCTAAAGTACTCACACTGTGTACTAGAGTAGGAGCGCTGATACTTCAACAGTCAAAGTACTGATTGAAATCCTGCATTTAAGTTGAAAAAAAAAGTACAGATACTTGTGTAAAAAAAAATATTTGTACTGGTTTAACTCTTGTATTTAAGTCAAAGTAAAAAAGGACCAGAGTTGACAACCGTACTCACAGCCTGTAGTTGAGCACAGGTTTTTACAAATACCCCGGCAAAGGTGAAATTACTGATTCAACTTCACGACTTCAGTAAGAGTAAAAAGGTTTAAAAAGTACTCACACTTAAGTACAAGTAAAAATACTTAAAAATAATAAAAATAAACCATGGGTAGGATGTCTACCAGTGGTGGCAAAAGTACTCACGCGATGTACTTGAGTACAAATTGTTGTGTCAGGAAAGCGCTTCAAAAAAGTAAAAGTATTGATTCAAATCCTATACTTAAGTAAGGGTGAAAATACACCACAAGTGACACAAGTGCTCACATTCTTTAGGTAAATGCAATTACAAGTATTTGTATCTGAATGCATGAAATAAATATAAGTCAGCAAATAAATAAATAAATAAATGAACGGCTCTGTAAAAGTAGAAGCACTGATTCACTTCGAATTAAGTAAAGATAAAACTATACCAGGTGTGGCTGAAATATTCACATTCTGCACATAAACAGAATGACAGATAACTGAGTTAAAAAAAGGCTGGTAAAAGCAAAAGTACTGATTGATCCAGCATTCAACCGAAAGCAACCCCCCCCCCAAAAAAAAGCACAAGATGTGACACATTTATTCACACTCTGTACTTCAGCAGAGATACTACAAATACTTGTACACACAAAAATATGGTAAAAGTAAACCGACTGAAAAGCACAAGTACTGATTCACCAAAAGTGAAAACAAACAAAAGTGGCAGAGGTGACAAAAATACTTCCTATCTGTCGTGTTTCCCTTCCCTTTGCCTCCCGCAGTGCATACGAGTGTCGTTTACCCATTGCGTGTAAGCGGTGCGAAGCTGCGTGTCTTGATGTTGATGCGACTGTATCGGTTGGGTTGGTACTGATGTGGCGAACTGGGCTCCACCTTGGAAAAACTCTTGTCGGCGGCGATGGTATCAATCTTCACCCAGCCTTCCCTGCTCTCCTTCTCACCGCTCGAAGGCTGCGCGTACACGGGAGCAGGAAAAAAAAATAATTGCCAACAATTACATGACAAACAAAACGATGGCAGTATGTTGCACAGCAGTCACACTCGTTATCTTCTGTTCAGATTGGAGGGGGGGGGGGCACACCAAGTTTTCTTTGTTTTCATTTAATTTGAAATCTTAATTACACCAAGACACGGTAGATGTTATACACCGCTCTATGGTACGTTCGAACGTTATTTGCCACTCCAAAAACGTTACTCCACATCGGCAGTTCCACCCTTCACTAGAGATTAATAGAAGATTGACAAAATTAAGCAAAATGTTATTATAAGCGAGCGTGACTTATCATCTCTGATGAAATATTAGCATATTGTATTGTTTTACTACGCCTCGACACCAGTGAAATGATAGTAATTTACTCGTGGATAATATGACCACCAATGCCACTACAAGTGCCACCTAGCGACTTGGCATGCACACTACAGCATATTTTATTCCACGTGGCACAAAATAAATGTTCTTTTTTTATTTTATGATCATTTTATCGCCTATTTGTCATACAAATACATGTACCGCCAGATGAATGCAAGAGATATCCCATGTAATTCATCCGATTAAATATGAGAGCAAGAGAAAATGAGGTACGTAGGCATTGACAGCAGGTCGCGGCAGGAATTTGCGTTCAAGTCCTCTTGTGGACTTCCAGTGCTTCCTGCTCCTCTGCTTCCTCATCAGACTTTGATTTGCATGTTGAAAAAAGGCATCTCATCTCCCGAGCACTCATCTTTACAAATATCACCCCCCTCCCGCGCTGCCGAGACGACGCCGCAGTTCTTTCTCACCACTTCGACGTCTGGTCCCGAAAGGGGCGTCAAAAGCAAAAGAAAGTTCTGACGGAAATAAATAAAACATCTTTGCAAAGACTGCCACAGCCACTTAGGAAGCCTTTAGAGGCAATTAGTTGGACTGCGGTGATGTTTGGAGAGATGACAGCGACATCTTTCTATATCTTGTGAATCGGAGCCTATTAGCTTCACATCCGCGTGATGCAATCCGTCGTCTCCCTTTGGCAAGAACACAAATGAGTAGTAGCATGATTAGCACAGTGCACGTCGCGTGTTATTTGGTTTTCAGGATGTTGTCCAAACAGAGACGTTCATGTTGTGAAAATTGATTCAGGGAATGGTATGCAACAAACCAGGGGATTTTCATTTCGGTTAGTATTTAGTTTCGTTTTGATTTTTGTTTCAGTTAGTTTTTAATTGGTCCTTAGAGCGTTTTTCTTTTTTTCCCCTCAGAATGCTGTGTTTTGGTTTAGTTTTAGGAATAGTTTTTGTTTTTAAAATATATTTGTTGAGTGCAAGATTTTAGAAAGTCACACAATATTGTGGAATGAAGTCAACTACATACAATATCCCGTTTTTTGAGAGTCTCAACACCTCTGAGCTCATCACTAAAGGCTCCAAAATACGGTACATGCCTTTGATTATTGTTTTATGGTCTGCCTACATGTCTTGTAGCAGCCTTTGCGTTCAGATATCCATTGCTTAAAGCGTAGTAACGCTGCCACATAGATACTAGTTCTCAGCCGGCATGTCTATGTAGTTTCCCATTTGATGTTAGCATTCAGGTAGCGGAGGCAAGGTGAGGTTACTTTACAGTAAAAACACAACGTGTAATTCGTTTTGTTTTATGTTTACTTTGACATTAACCTTCTGAGATTGGCAATAAGCCACTTGAAGTCTTGAGTTACAAGCCACCGAACAGCACAGGTGTCTCAAATTCAAATTTGCAAGTGACTTTAAGAGGCGGGGCCTGGTGTAGTGAAACGTGACGTTGGCCGTTCTGCGTGTGAGTGTCTGGGTGTGAGTTGTGGTCGACATCAGCTTGTGCGTGAGTGCTGATGTATTTTACTGTTCTGCTGGTGCTCAATAACTGGCTAAAACATGCATTGGTGACGTCTGCTCTGCTTTCCGACATGCAAGTACATGACAATAAGTAAGTATGCTGCTCGAGCGATGATGACATAAAACGACAGCCTCAGCCTCACCTCAGGCGCCCAAGTCCTCTCCAGTTCCCGCTGGCTGTCGGCCTGCTTGTAGTACAAGGTGAGCGTCTCCCGGCAGGTGGGCGACGGGTTCCGCAGGCTGGCGCAGTCCCGCACGGAGAAGCGCAGTGTGACAAAGACCCGCGGGGCGGAGTGGCGGAACAGGAAGGGCGTGGCCAGCCAGTTGTCCTTCGTGCGGGAATTCTGGTTGATGTTGCACACCTCAAATGCCCGGATGAGCCTCCCTCGGTCGTCCCGGACGCTCACTTCGTCCCACTGGAAGGGACACGAACAACATTGCGAGCTTTAAAATGTCTTTCAGGAAAAGAAGAGCATGCTGCAGTCGATTCTAGAGCGAAGGCAGGAATGTTGCACGGGAAGGGCCATTTTTGCTCGACTTTATCGTTGTGTTTAGCGCACGGTACTTTTGTATCGAATATTGTGTCCAGAAGTATGTTTTTCTTGTTTTCCTGCCACAACATTTATATCTAACTTCAGATGGACACTTGCGTGACTATTGCACATCATAAACATAAAAATAGGCAGTGGTGTCATGTTTTGTGTGAATTCTAATCCAGTCAATGCTGTCATGGTTTTTGAGCGCTTCATTCATGGAGAAAACTCAGCGGCACGAGAGCCGGCCTCCTCTTTGACAGTCCGCCGTGATGAGTCAAAATGTAAATGTAGTCCCTCCGGTTAAACTTCACCAATTATCCACCGCCAGTGTGGGAATAAAAAAAAAATCCAAAATCTTTTTCTGGAGCAACATTGAGGAATGATGCATTAGGGCTCATCATCATCATGCCCTTTGGAGATGCACCAACGGCAAGCAGAATGGGCGAGGAGGTGGACAAAAGATCCGAAGGGAGGGGTGGCATCTCAGACCCCAAACGAGCACACACACACACACACACACACACACACACACACACACACACACACACGCACACTCACATGCGCACACACGTGTATTTCCAGACATATGGACGCGATGCAGCCAAAGCCGCCCCTTGTGGAAGGAGAAGGGTGGCATAAGAATGCAAGATGCTCTGAGTGAAATCCTGGGGTCTGGTGCGGAGACTCCAACCCAGAGAGAGTGAAGGCGCAGTTGCGCGCATGTGAAAGAAGGTAAGATTAAAAGAATAACAACAACAGGGGGGGAGGTTAAGGGCGGGAGGCCATCCAGTAAGAGCATGGAGACACAGCAAGTACACAGAATCTCCATGTGCCCCGGAGCCTGGGAAAAGATGGCACATGGAGAGAAAAGTATGGAAAGAGTTTTTCAAAAAAAAAGAGGCCCACACGCATTCAAACACAAACAAGTCATAACAACTACTCTCCCCACCGACCCCCCGTGATCTGTTTCTTTGGTTGCTGCCTCAGGTCATACGAACATATCTTCAGCTCACCCACGCGTCCCGTCATGCACACAAGCACCGCATGTGTGCGCATGCGCATGTTCGGGAGGGACAAATTCTTTGAGTACGATTCATTGAACAAGACCCCGTTGCAATAATGCATTGTTCGGGTCAGCTGCCGCGTACATTTTTGCCCCGGTCCGAGACGGAATTTTTTGGAGGCCCATGCCAATTTCAATATTTGTCAGAATAAAATTCCCACAACCGATTCATCAGCTGATTCTTTAAAAAAAACAAGCGTACACTGATCAAAATCACTTTTTATTTTGGTCGCTTATCACTTTGAACAATAGAGATGTGAATTAGCGGCAGAACATTTGACTGTTTCACGATACTTTGTCTTTTTATATTTGTTGAACTTTTCAACAGAAAGAAAAATCTAAATAAAATGACAATTTTTTTGCCAATTTTCTTTTTTTGGGGGGAGGCGGCGGGTGTTTGAAAGCCATTATTGTTGTCTTATTTTGTTTTGTACTAATATGGAAAAAAACAAAAACAAACAAAAAAAAAAGCAGATTTCTGCCAATTTTAAACGTGCTACTTTCAGAAACAACAGTCCAGGCTTATAGCATCCCTCATTCTCTTATATTGTAAACACAACTTCCACCAAAGGATCAAATCGAAACAAGTATGTTTAGATTTGTTAATGATTATGTTCATAAGACGAGCCGCTTTTATTGGCCAGGAAGTCAGTGGGCTGTGTTCACTCCCACAACGGCGCAAGCCTCACTTCCCAACCGCGCCTGTCTATGAAAATACCAAAAGAAAGAGAAAAGTTCGACTGCACTTTGAGCTAGAGTCGCGCCGGGCGTGAAAAGAGGGCCCCGAGAATGGAAATTTAAACCGGTACTGACAAAGAAATCAATTAATCGAACCAAAGCACGTATTTTCCTCTTCAGTAGCCAACAGCGTTTCTGGTTTCCTCAGGACAAAAGTTCCTTTTCTAATGCTTTTGCAAACTATACATTAGGGCTAAATCAGAGCTTTTTAAATTGTTGTTCACTTTTCATTCAGTGATGACAATGGATAAAATGTGTGCCTGTGTGTGTGTGTGTGTGTGTGTGTGTGTGTGTGTGTGTGTATAATCAGAAGACATATTAGTAGTGCGTCACAATCACTCACAGATGAATGAACTTTACTGACCCAAGACGTGACCCTGGCACGGTCACGCAACCAGGAACGCGCACGCACACGCATGCTTGACGCACGCATGTGCAAGAAAGGCTGGCAAATCTTTGGTTTAATCACTGCAATCTCATCATGGATGAAATCACATGACACGGAACATGCGGGGGCGCTTTTAAGCCCTGGCGCTGGGCTTCAAGGCGCCGACTTTTTTGACATGAGTTGTCGAATGTTCCTGTTGTGGTTCCTTACCCCTGTGTCCGGGTAGGTGGTCCAGCCCAGTTCGGTGGTCGACTCCGTTGTGTCCAGCAGCATCACTGTCACATACACAAGCGCACGACATGGTTTTAGAAGGCGCACAATTGACATATGTGAAGCATATCAACCATGACACGGATACGCCCGCCGTGCTAAAAATAGAACTTGATGTCCGGTTTCGAATCAAATTACTTCACCAAATTAAAAAGCAGGGAGCAGATTATTGGCCCGTGGACGGAATTCAGGTCTGGTGCACATCGCCCTTTGATCCCCCCTCACGCCGAGCAATCCCAGCGCTTTCCCGCTACGTGCGTTTGTCAAAGATTAAAAAGACGTCTCAGGAGACGAGGCCCGCTGGCACGAGGTTCTGCTGTTCGCAAAATTGGATTGGATACAACTTTATTGTCAAATGTGCTGTATGTACAGCACAGATGAAATTTCTTCCCTCTCAACATAAAACAGAAACAAGAGAAATCAAACGGATTGATGCGAAAATGGCGCGTTCCATTAAAGGGCAAACGGGAGTGACTGTCAAATACTTCAGGCAGCCGATTGGGAGAGATGTGGGGAGTTGGCTGTTCACTCGGCGCGTTTTTTTCCACTGGTTGTGTTTCAAGCACTCCATACAAGCAAAATGCACTTCAATGCAGGGTGCTGCATGCCCACACATGACCTCGCACGAAAATGAAGCAGCGGTCTAAGGTATGGAATATGATGTCGCGCTAAAACACAAGGTCCCAGAGAATAGACGGCTGTTTGTATGCGTTGCTGCTCCTTGAAGCTTGACAGCGCCGTAACATTTCAATTAGCCCTTCGATGGCATTTCACATGAATTTAGCATCACACCAGAAGACCTTCGTGACTGACCCTTGAGGAACACCACAGGAAAGGGGAACTGACTGCGACTTTTTAGGGCCCACAACCACAGGAAAAAGATTTGTGTTAGCATATCGTGCTTTAAAAGCCTTTAAGTCCCATACAGGAAGGCAAAAGACAAGACAGCAGAAACAAGATAACTCTCGTGGAATAATGATAGAGTAGATTTAAAAAAAAAAAAAAAAAAAAGTCACCCAAGTGTTTGCTAAATTTGCTTTGGCTTTGGATGCATCCATTTTGGCAGAGTGGAAAAAGATTGCGTTGTCGTTTTTCGAGCAAAACCGCGCCATTGTGTTAGTACACACATTTTGTTGGGACACTTCGGATCTGGCCACAGGAATTTTTCCAGCTGGCTCCCCCAAATCCTGCTGGCCGCCGTCCGCTCCAGTCTGGCAGCGTCTGTGCTCGCACGCTTAACCAAAGTTTCCTGTGCATGGTGAAGCGGCAAAGACTTCCTCTTGGAATGTTACCCCCCTACCCCCCCCTTCGCAAAAATACAATATCATTGCATCAAGAGAGCTGCTTATCCCCTGACGGGCTGTAGTCAACATAAAACGCGCTTAGGGATGAAGCATCTGCCTCTCTGTCTATGGATAAATAATTCTTACTGGGGTCATACAATTTTGATCCCTTTCTACTCATATTTCATGGCACACAATTGCTCAGTGGAGAGGAATTTCTCCCCCTGTGCGTGGAGAAGATCATTTGGTCTGCTGCTTTCTGCATTAAGGTTCAGTTCAGGCATAGATGATCATACAAAAAAAAAAACCACACACACACACAACAACAAACAAATATTTCATTTGAAGATTCTCTTGAACACCCTCTCCCCATCTTCCCTTGGTGCTCTGACTGAGCTGTTGCGATTTTTCTTTTTTTAAGGATGACGCTGGCAGATGGAGACAGCAAATCTGTCTTGTGACTTTTTTTTTTTTTCATCCTTGTGAATGCTTCTTCCCACCCCACTAGCGGAAACACAGGCACAATGCTGCTACCTGTGTTCACGCCCTTCATCCATCCATTTTCTGATCCGCTTTATCCCCACAAGGGTCACGGCGTGTGCTGGAACCTATCTCAGCTGTCTTCGAGCAGTGGGCGGGGTTACACCCTGAACCGGTTGCCAGCCAATCAATCGCAGGGCACACAGAGACCAACAACCATCGGCGCTCACACTCACCCCGAGGGACAATTTCGAGTGCTCCATTAACCTGCCGTTCATGTTTTTGGAATGTGGGCGGAAACCGGAACACCTGGAGAAAACCTACGCAGGCCCGGGGAGAACATGCAAACTCCACACAGGGAGGCCACAGCCGGAATCGAACACTGGTACATCTGCACTGTGAGGTCGACCCGCTAACCACTCGACCACCGGGCCTCCCATGTGTTCACACCGAGAGACGTAATTCTTGTTTTTACTGTAGCTTATAGCACACACACACACACACACATACACACACACACACACGCAGAGATACCCATTAAGTGCTATTCTATTTAGCAGATGCTGCGCGTGTCTCTCCAAATTCAATTAAGATTTGCTGCAGGGTTATTAGTTCAGCCAAGCTTGAGTAACAACACGTATAGTGATTTAAAAATGAATATTCATGTCCATCTCGTTCCCCGTCATGCGCGAGTGAGGTACTAACTATGCGAGACCAGATGTACATGAGCTGGGTCAGCGCCAGCGAGCCTCATGTATGTCTTGTGGCGTGACATTTGCACGGTGAATAATTCACGGTGACATCCCGAGGTAGAGCGTTGAGTGCACACCTTTCAGAGAATTAAGACCTCGCGACATGGACTAAAAAGTGGGGGCACATTTGCCGGCACGGCCACTTGGCTGTAAAAGCCTCTTTATTTAACTCTGTCGCACACACACGGTCACAGCATCTCTGTTTTTTTTTGGGGGGGGGCGGGGGGGTCCATCTGACAGCAGAAACACTCAGCTTTTGTTCCTGACAGCTTCGAGAAGTGCTGAGTCTGCAATCTGGACCTGAGTGCTGTTGCATTGAAAGCGCACCGCTGCTTCTTTGACCAACTCCTCCATCATGTCCCTTGTCCCCCAGCCTCCCATCGCACATCCTCCGAACCCAGTGGGAGTACAAATATTCATGAACGGGACTTTAAAATAGTCCTGTTGCTCCTTTAACCTACGCCAACGACAACATGACTGATTGAGATCTAGCGCCCTGATCCTGAAAATGCCGTTCATCCCCAAAACAATCCACTGTACTACATGCAGCGCTAACATAAATATAATATCCATAATTGAACAGTTTGTGCATCATGATTTTTTTTTTTTTTGACATTGTGCTGCTCTTTGGTGCACGTGCTTGGTCAGCAGGGTGAAATGTGATACGACAAACAGACAACATTAGATTTGATGATGAAACACAAAAGGAAACCTAAGCTGGGATCATTTTAGCTATTTCACGCAGAAGATAAAGAATACATGCCAATGAGTACCGTTCCGTTCCTTTTGCATCTATTACTTGTGCTGCTGTTTAAAGGTGAATAATGACATCAAAGCTAGTCTTGTTAGCCCAGTAATGGCCTCTTGCATTGTTTTGTAGCATTAGGCTAGGGAATTTTCATAAGACAGTTATGTGATTTGTTTAAATATGCAACTTAAAATTCTTTATTTTACATTTGACGCAGTTAGTTTGACGCAAGCACGTTTGTGAAGAATTGCTCACTATCTGCTAGACTGCTACTTGGTGTGAACTTGCGGCCACGATAGCACTCATCACGAAACTTTTTTGCTGGCAACTTAAGACCAAAAAGTCGGCTGAGCAACTGATCGTATCTCGAAAGAGGGAACGTGTATATTTGTGAGTTGTTCACTTTTTATCTCTCAGTTCACGTTTGCGAATTTACGGGAACACGTTTGATAGCAAAGAAGTCGAGTCACTGCTAGCTAGCTAGCTAGCTCTTGTTTTGAAAAACAAAACAAAACAACACACTACAATTGTTTTTTTTTTTTGGTCTGATTCCAAGTATGACAACTTTGGAAGGTAATAGAGGGGGGAGCATTTGATGTGTTAAATTTTTTTTCTATTGTGCCAAGTTATCGAAACGGGTGTTGTACACAAATGACATATTTACTTTTGTGCTTGCGTAACTTGAGTTAAACTCAAAAATTATTTTAGCATCAAGAGCAACTTCACTTGTCGAACTAAACAAATACCTCAGTTATTGGAGTCAAATGGCAATAGGTTTCCTCAAACGGAGTTGAACTCACTCAGCAGGTTTTTCTGTCTACTTTCTTACTTATTTACCCGAAGGAGTTGAATCTTTACTTTAGCTTTTGACTGATACTTTTCCTTAAGTCCATACAAGTCTGTCAAATCCGTATTTTAAATGCAGCGCGACTACTTTTGTCACCTTCCTTCTTCTTCTTCTTCTTCTTCCCCTCCTGTTCCCATGTGTATTATTTATCTGGCAAAGTGTCTGCAGGCACCGACTTGGTGTACATTAAAAGCGGACGCCGATTGTGTTTGTCTCTCGCCGAGTCCAAGCGTGGGTGCAAAAGCTCTCGTCTGCAGTTCAGCGGTGACCCCGCATTAGTTCACGGGCGACCTCCTCCGCTTGGCTCACAGCCGAGCGCCCCTCCAACTCGCAGCCTCCGAATCCATTTTCCGCATTTGCGGTCACACTCTCGCGCCTGCAAAGCGTCGTGTTTGTTGTCGACGTCGCGCCTGCTTTCACGCCACGTGTTATTTTAACACCTCACGCAATCCACCAAAGACTTGGCTTTGATTAGTACCAAATGCGCCGGGTTGGTCTACCACTTAAGCAAGCATACACTGTACTGTACTCCCTTATATTTTGCACTCTTGAAACGGCTGGGTCAAAAGTAACCCAATGTGGCTGAAATAGCTAACCCAGCGCTGGGTCCAGAAGAACTGAGCCAAGGCTATTTAGAGCCACTGCATTGGGCAAGCTTCCGTCGGCAAGCTGGGTCAAGATTTTGATCCAACGAGGGGTTAAAAACGACTCACGCCGATGAGTTAAAGCTCCCAAGAAATGGGTTGGGACTCGCCGCCAACATGTTGGAAGACGTGACATTTCCTTCAACTTCAGAATACAGCAAAATTCCAAAAAGTTCCACCTGCGTGCTGCCATTTCCTTGCAAAATGGCTGCACTTGCGAGCGCGCAGCCCTCCGATCCGCTCCAGATGCCCCACCCGCAAACAGTCGGTCCAGGACGCGCGGCCTCCACCAGGCCATCATTACGCGTGACCACATGCGGCCCCGCGATACGCCAAGACAGAGACAGCAGCAGGGCCGAGCAAAGAGGAGCAGATGAACCTTATTCCCGAAATAAGCACGGCCGTGTCAGAGGGACTCATCAAAAATTCCCTCGCGGTTTGTCCTGCTGGATGCGGCAGGCTGCCGTTTTTCACTTGCAACGGACGGCGACCTCAGAAAAAGAAGCCAGTCTTGAGAAATTAGCCAGTGGTTGCTTTGTACGGGTGCCATTCATCTGCAGGCTGGGTAACCACACAAAGAGTCCCAACCGGGATCGATAAAGTTTTCGGAATCGGAAAAATACACAAACACAAACTTTTTTTTTTTTGCATGAGACCGAAACTCCCCACAAAACTGAGTGATTTGAACCAGAGTGGGACAACTGGATATAAAAGTGGGGCTTCATATTCCCACCCCCCCTAAAAAAACAAAAAAAACAAAAACTTTTCGTCATATTGCTGAAACTGTCCCTATAACCGACGGTATTATGAGTTAAAAAAAGAAATAAAAATCGTCCCTCTTTGGCGCCGTCTTGTGCCTCCAATCTTATTTTGTAAAGAAACCACCATGCCCGAGGAAGAACAACCAATCAGAGACAGAATGTGTGACCAATAAGGTGTCAATCATTTGCCTGCGCCATTGCGTCAAGCTGTCATCTTAGGCTTCAGTAACTTTGCTGAAACTATGATGAAATAACAACAAAAAAGTAAATTCCAGGACACACACAAACACACACACACACACACTCGCAAGGTAACAAAACTGCACTCTTCATATTTCCCTGACAACAGGATTCCATTCGACAAATTATGCCTAATAAAAAAAAAAAAACAACTTTTCACACCTCGCCTTCTTTGAAGGATGTGCAACTTGAAGGCGTTAGAAGTGAAGAAGCTGGACATTTCAAAAATATTTATGAGTTCTCCATAAATTAATTTGGGCTCATTCGAAACTGTGGCATTAAAAAAGACTATTCCCACAAAGTTAGGAGGGATACGATGGATGCCGATGAAAGTGAAACTATACTGGCAATGGGACGGTTGATCGAACCAATCCGATTTCAAATCCGTCCTCACAGGGCCAGAGAGCTGGCCCTCATCGACATCAACATTTTCCCGTCCTCGTATTGGTTGCTCTGAGCAAAACTTGTTGTGGTGCCTTGAGTTATGACTTTAATTCACTCCCGAAACACGCTTGGAATTGAAAACGTGAATCTCAAAACATCTTTCACCATGGAAATGAATGGAACTGCCATTAATCTGTTCCAGCTTCCTTGAAAGTGTTTTAAAAAAAAAAGGAAAATAGCAGTCTGTCTTTCAGACAAGCAAAGAAGAGTTTACCCAACTACTTTAAGTAATTTAGTAATCTGCTGGAATATGAATTGGTTTCTCACAGAGGATAAAGAAAATATGCCAGTGAGGATTACTATATTTTCTGTCTCCATGTGTTGCTACTGTTTGAGTTCAAATATCCATTGCTAGAGGCAAATGCATTGCTCGCCTCTTCTCTTGCATACTAAATCACTTTTCTGTAGAAAAACCAAAACACAACAAAACAAAACATGCTGACGCTGCATCCTGCCCTTTCCGCCAGGGAGCACGCAGCAACCGAGTTGCTTTTTTTTTCCGGCCGACTGACAATCGACTGTGTCACGCATGGCACGCCTTTTGTTTTCTTTTTACACCATCCTGGAAAGACGGCTTATCACACCCAAGGAAAGGGCGACGATCGGCCTAATTAAGATGCAGTTAAAGAGCAAACCTCCCGCGGAAATTTGGCCCACATGACCTTGAAGTGAGAATGTCAACACGACCCTTAAAGCGGGATGACCTGCTGGGTTATTTGGGAAATTTCATCAGCAGTGCAGCTTGGTTTTTTGTTAAAAAAAAAAAAATTAAAAAAAGGATGTTTGGTGGGGCTCGAATAGAAAAACACTCTGAAATAATGACGTGTTTACACATCGGTGCGGCTCCACTGGAGCAAAAGCGCTGGACGGGGCATCAGGTGTGCCTTCGTGCCATCCAGACAACATCAACACGCCATCGTCCCAAATCGAAAACCACAATGCGATATGCTCACATCACACTCTCAAACTAGCCGTCCACCCCTACAACAGTACATGCCAACTCCACACAGAGAAGACTGACGACCAAAACCCGAGCTCCTCAACCGTGAGGCCGATGCGCTAACCGCTAAGCCACCACGCTCACGTGATTGAAATGAGCTGTGTGAAGGTGCTTATTATCACGGTTGAATGTCTCAATGTTTGAGACGGCTCAGTGCAGGAGGAGCACGGGGAATGGTTGGTAAGCACGCCTAACAGTCAGAAGTTCTGGGTTCGAATTTCGGTCCCTTCCCATGAGGAGTACGCGTTGGACCGATTAATCTTTATTCCGCCACGTCAAAATTGAAATCACAAATGATGTGATTTTTTTTTTTTTTATATTTCGTATTCAAAACTTGCCCACAGGCCGCCGTCCAACAAGGCCACACGGTCCGTGGGTACAAAAATAAGCTGCCGGTGGATGAGAACCGTATTGATCAACACACAGCAACGACACCACATTCATGTCACTTTACGACACTGTACGTGGTCAGCGTATGCTACACGTGTATCACAATAGCCATCCATTTTTTAATCCACTTATCCTCATGAGAAAAATAAATAAGGCATTTTTTTTTGTTTGTTTTTTTTTTTGTCTCATCTTACAAGGCGATATGATATGGAAGAAAAGATGAGCCGTGATAGGCTCATCTCAGCCATGACCCGAGTGAGGACAAGCGCTATAGAAAATGGATGGATGGATTGTGCAACCAATTGTTGTTGTCTTTTTGTGTGTGTGTGCACTGAAGCTACAAAAGAACTGAAGAAATGTTTTGGCGGCTCAAAGCACAGAAGCAATCAGGTCGTCACACACAGAAGCTGTCCAAGCAGACCCAAAGATGCCGTAACAAGGCAGATTTATATGGCTGCCCCCACTATTGGGTCAATCGTGTATTACGCGGAGCTTCATTTCAATGACACAAAGTCCGACGGCCAAACGGACGCGCGCGGTGGCCTTGCTCACCATCTTTCATCCTCATCCAGGCCATCTGCTGCCAGCCCTGATCGATGGGTGGCGGCACGCTGACGTACAAGTTACCTCTCTTTTGCAGCGTGAGTGACACACGCGCACACAGTCAGAGATTGCAATCTTTCTTATAGATACATACTTCTACGTTCGGGTGATTTTTGTTTTGTTCATTCGAGATGCAGCGCTAGATGGTGGCAGTGAACCCGAACACACTTCATCACGAGAGGCATCTTCGAAGCGGCTGCAAAGTAAGCAGGCCAGGTAGAATACAGATTTGGAGAAAGTGATATAAAAATGTAATAAAATCGGGATATATACGGATAAGATAAAAAATAATAAATGAGATAAAAACAAGGATTAGGTTAAGTATGATACATACATGGAATCAAGATAGAAATAAGCGAAAAAAAGAAAAAAAAAACTACCGGTAAGCAAAAAGGAAACATGAACAGGTGCCTCTGCTGATGAATATTAAAGTGGATAACACAAAAGGGGTAGAATAAAAGACGATAAGATGCAAACATTAAAAATTGGTCAAAAATAAGGTGCAGGTAAACTATAATGTAAATTATAATCAAACTATGAAAATTATGTAGGGGACAAATACATGCCCATTTGTACTTGTGTATGACAACGTTCAAATCGAATTGTTTGCCAGGGCCGACGCGTGCGCAAACTTTCTTGAGTTTTCGGTCATGTTTAGGACCTCAAAAATATGAATCCTTGCAGAGAATAATCATCATGATCATAATGATATCGACGTCAATAATAGTGACCTCGCCGTGGTCGCTGTTTCGGGCCCTAAAATTGTCATTTAAATTCTAATTTAATGTTGGAGCAGGTGCCTCTTTTAACCCCCACCACCACACACACCATCTTCAAGGAAACAACACACACACACACACACACACACACACACACACACACACGCACGCGTGCACGAATGATATCTGAGTCATTAGACTACCAGTGAGATCGCTCAAGACTGCCCACTCTCATCTGCCCAGGAGAAAGTCTCACTTAAACCATCTTGCACATTTGCAAGAAAGGGGTCTGGCAAGGGGTCGAGAGGGGTGGAGGTGGGGTAGCATGGGGGGGGGGTTATGGGTTGCCTGGCCTGAGGGGGACATAAGAGAGTGAGGGTGGACATAGCTTATGCAATTTAGCATTCATTTGTATCTGTTGCCTTATCTCCAAATTCTTTTGTTTTCTGGCTAACAACACGCACACACACCTGGAACCACACACAGAGACAGACACACACACACACACACACACACACACACACACACACACACACACACACACACACAAGTTGCAACAAGGTGTTACTCCTTGCAACAAGGAGGAGTTGAATTCCCATACATTGCTGTCAAAGAGTTCCCAGGGAGCCACGGCGCTTCTACCCACCTCCCACTAAAATCAATCCATGATGAAAAATGAAATATTTATGAGCGTGGGTTAAAAAAAATTAAAAAGTTACTTCTTACCTTCCTCAGCTGAATTGGGTCGGAGAAAGAGACAGAGGGACAGAAGGACGCTCCACATCTCCACTACAGAGTGACACTGACAGCGGGCCGGGGAGGGAGAGAGCATGCAAGAGTGAGAGACGTGTTTGTGTGCGTGTGTGTGCGCGTGGGTGTGTGGGTGTGGAGGGAACGAAAGAGTGGGTAGGAGGAGTCTGTTTGTTCCCACTATCAGCAATGGGAGGAGAACGAATGGATGACAGAAAAGGGGGGGAGTTAAAAAAAATTGGCGTAAGTAAACAAAATGCCGTTGTCATGGAAACGGGGAAGTTAATAAGAGGTGTGACAGTCACCTCGAGGTTAAGCCGGCATGTTGCGGCGTTCCTCACATGCCTGTATGATGCACACGTTTTTTTTTCAATATATGTGAACATTTTGTGGAGTCACAAGCGCCCGCCATGACCCCCGCCCCCAACCCC